ATTTCCACACATAACCTCCAATGATTTGCGCAATCTCAAAGCTTATCGGAGTCTATAGGAACTTCTACAACGCATGTGATCCAGAATAAAGATAAATAAAAAAAGTTATGACTACTTTGATGGAACATCATTGGGAAAAGCAGAATTTGCTTATCAAAGGTTTTTCACATTACTTGCTCAATCGAGCAAAAAAAAACGCAATTCGAGCAGCCAGCTCATCGCATGCGACTTATTTGTGCAAACTCGAGAGAATTTGCGTGAGGCTGAGCAGATTAAAAGCGAAAAAAGATCTTGAAAGATAGTTTACACTAGGGACACCGTGATGGCAAAAACAAAAATATGTTCAGCACGATTTTCGCAACTTCTCGAATTAGCAATAAAAGTTCCGTATATCTTATCTAGAAAAAAGCAAAGAAAGTGCCAAACCAAAAATTACAACAAATCTACCCATTGCACGTACTTCGCCAGATTTTGAATTGTGTGTATTCGAGTAATATAACACTTATCTTTTGAAAAACTAATAATGAAATAACGAAATATCATTACTGAAAAATACTAACCTGTATGGAAGGTCCAGCACCTCCGGTAGAAGCTGGAGATCGCCCAACTCGTCGTCCGGAACATTCTTCCATCCACTCCTCGTGCTCACTCATATCGCCCATCTGGAAGCCATAGCTCGGCAATGCTTTAACTCTCATTTTAGAAACAACATATGCACTTGCTTCGATGAGAGCAAACGGATGAAAAGGGTAAGACGGTAAACGCTGTAGAACGGAAAGTGAGTGGTTTCAATAGATGCTAAGGACCGGTTGCCCCTGTATAAAAAGGGCTAGATACAATGAAGGATAATGATTGGGATCTCCATAACGATAGGTTAGTTACAGATTCTGACCATTTCACCTTAGATGTCCTAACAACTCGAGATCATAGACTTTAGAACTTGCTTAAAAGGGTCTAGCACCCTGATCACGAATATCACATTGAATAATTCAGTATTCAGAAAAGTTATATTAGGTGGTTGCACGAGCTGTCCTCTCTACTGTTTCGAACTGAAATCAAAACGAAAATGATGAAGGTCAAAAATTCATGAATAAATTAATTTGGTTAGATTTTCAGCAAAAGCCGTCAAATTCAGCAATGGTAGCTCCAGAGAGCTAGTATGCCAATGTTTTGTCTGGTGCTTTTTGAAGACTTGCGTAGCCCGAAGCTTGAGTTTTGAGTTGCTGACAGCCAAAGAAATCGCGCTTCTTGACCGTCTTCCCCATTTTATGAGGTTACGGTGGGTATACGGTATGGGTGTCAAAATCGCGGATTTTTACAAATTTCCCAGGGAATGGATTACGGTTATGACCGGTTAAATACCTATCTCGCTTAATTCAAAGACTGACATTTCGGACCGATGCAACTTTTCAGAAACTCAGACAACTACCGGAACTTCCGCAGGACAAGCCAGATTTGCAGAAATTC